CGAGGGCATTTCGTCATTCTCAAGTAACATCAATGGCTTTGGGAAGCCTCGGCAACGGGTTGTTCCAGGTGCCGAGCCTGCCGAAGAAAAGGGACCTCTTCCTCCTGGAGCTGCTCCTGGAGGAGGGGTGAGTTTGACAGGAACTGGAGAGGGAGCAGACGGAGAACCACTGTCCAAGGCTGCTAAGAAGAATGCTAAGAAGAGAGAAGCAAAGAAGGCGGCGGCGGCAGCCCGGGATCAACAGCAAGGCGGTGGGCCACCCAGCAACCTCGCGCCGGAGCAACGACCACAAGGTGGAAGGGGGAAGAGCCCAAGCCGAAGTCCCGACGGTCGTGGCCACCAGCGCAGCCGAAGTAGGAATTATGTGCCCGCGCCTGGTCTTGAGCCGCCCAGTGGACCGAAGAAGGAACGGAGCAGGAGCAACAGCCGACGACAGCGCGGTGATACAAACAGCTCAACGTATGAGCGGCACCACGGATTTGCAAATGGCACACCCAAAGGCCCTGCCCAGGGAGCATCCAATGCCAATCAGCAAAGCAAGACACCTCGCAGCAATGCGCCGACGCATATCAACACAACTATTCCTATGCCCCCTCCCCCACCTGTTCCTCAATCGTCACAAATCCCTCCCGAATTGGAAGTCACCTCCCCAATGACCCCTGGTGGCAACCCCCAGGACAAGAAAATCCGCGGCCTCCTGAAGAAGATCCGAGCGATAGAGGACCTCAAGATGCGCTTCGCTGGGGGAGAAAAACTGGAGGATACACAGATGAGGAAGATTCAGAGTGAGGAAGGGGTTAGGAAAGAGCTGGCGGCATTGGGGTATTCTGCGTGAGAGCATTTGTTTGAGGTTAATGCGTTGGTCTCGAATCTGCATGCACTGTCATTTGTTTTCCCAGCATGAGAGGATTTCTGCCTCGAAGGTCAAGTCGACGAGGTCATCAGGAGAACAGCACAAGGCGAGCCCATTGCTCGGCAACGGAGCTTGCCCTTTGATGCGGCAGGCTGAGCCAGGTCAGGTCGATATCGAAGAAGAGTGTCCGAGTCGTCGAGACGGGGCATTCATCCATCACCTTGCAATTGCAGCATTGCCGTCTGGGCGTTGTGTCGAGTCATTCCATGGCCACGATGGCTACGACAGAGTTTTGGTCCCAATGGAGACGGCTGGGCCCCGCGTGTCCGGACGTGTGATTTGCGTTCCTGTTTACACAGGCTTCTACTCCTCATTTTGCATAGCGAGGAATGTGACCACCAAGGCGGTGGGAATGCAGATGGATATACGGCTGGATCGAGATTCCGAAAGGGAAGGCCAGGTCGGGGACGACAAATATCAACTATGTAGAGACCAGTGCTGCCAGGAGTCGCGGGCATGCATAGCTCGGGCCTGATGAAGGTGACGAACTTGTGCGGAAAGCAATTCCTCAAGCCAAAGAAAAACCAAATGAAAACCACAGTAAAACCCATCAGAGAGAAGAAAAACAAAAACAATTCAAAAGATGTTCGAAAGGGAGAAGTAGAACACTACTGAAGTGGTCAAACATCAAACGTAATACAGTATTAGATGTGACACTGAGAGGGTGTCAATCTTTTTGGTAAATGTAAGCCGCCAACAACAGCCGATTGAGAACCGTAGACGGCAGTTTAAAAGGTTGCGATTCCCAATACATTGTTCCATGTCCCGTCCGTACCCAGCACACCACCCACTCCACCACCATGCCTGCTTCTTCCCCGAGGAGAGGAGAGACAGGACAGGGACAGGTAGGTGCGTAGATGGGTACTTCAGGAAATGGATCTGCCTGTTCGGCAGAATGGGTTGGCGGCTCGAAAAGACAGAACCTTTCCCTTCCTTTGTGTCACACCATCGGGAATGACCCGCACAAGGCAAGGTCGAAAACGAGATGAGGACAAAAGGGGTGGGGGAGGTTTCTGTCTTTTGGGGGGGTTGATCTTTCGCGAAGAATACTGAGCCTGAGAATTGAGTCAAGGTATTAATCTCGCCTTGGGCTCCACCTTGCATCGCGATGGAAATGTAGAAAACATATGTGGAATTGAACATAGTAGAGGGAAGGGGAGGGAAGGTCATCTGCAATCTGGAAGAACTGGCTGCAGCAATACAGCAGGCATGAGTATAACCCAAAGGGGAAAGGAAGTGTCCTTAGAACGAATAGACCAGATGTCGCATGAAAAAAAAAAAGTAACGAAGACCTTCTGTAAGTTGATCACAAGTTGACCATGACATTCGGAGAATAAAGGCGCCATTTGGCCAACGGTAATGCATGTGGAACTCCCCGCGAATTCGAATGCTGGAGTAGCAATTGGATGATGTACAAGAAAAAACCGAGTTCGACAATGAGGGTATCGTACAAAGGGGCCGTGTGGTTTGCCAACACAAGAGAGCCAACTCCGGCTGGGAAGGCGAAGGTATCTATTAGCTTTTCGTGCGGAATGGATTGCAGAGCGTTCATGTGAACAACCTCCTTGGGTTTGCGGCTGGTTCACCTTCGAACGCTTTTTTCCCATTCAGAATCTTCAAACCCCTGCCTTTCGCTGGTGTTGGGCTTCCCATGTCAATATCCTCGTCACCATCATCCTCATCATCATCAATGCGGAACCCTACACTCTTAGTGAAGAGGTTCATCGGTTTCTTTGTTGCTGCCATACCACCCATGTCATCAAGGAGGCGGTCCATGCCCTCGACATCCAGATCGCCAGACGCGAGTAATGTTTGGTCTGACGGCGCCGCAATCGTTTGTGTAGACGGATCGGCGACGCTGGAACGTGGAGAAAGCGGGTTGAGCGAGAGAATGAGGCGGTGAGATGTCTGTGTAATAAAGTCAGGAGAGACTGCGTTGTCGAAGATACTGCTCCCAGAAAACCCATTGCTTGAAAGTTCTGAGCTAGGAAGCAGACTGAGTGACAATGGTACTTGACCCCCCAAGTTTGGAGGCGGAAGGCGAACTGGTTTGGACTCGCCCTTCCAGAAAGAGAGGATTGAAGAGATGTACAAGGTTTCATGTGCGTAGCTTATGAGCACGGACTCGTCGTGTGCTACTCGGTTTGGAAGCATTTCTTCGACATAGATGGACCCGTAGCATCGTTGATTGTTTGGTTTTGATGAGTTATTTGTAGACGTTGAGCCTTGGAACAAACCCTCAGATCGTACCTTGCGGGTCGACGGGGTCATCGGCGCCAAAGAGCCGGATGTTGGTTGTGCCTCACTGTAAGCAGATTTCTGCTTGGAATCCACGGAGGGCAAGAGGTGTGATCGTACAGCGAAACGAGTCAAGGAACCACCTTGGATGCCTGAGATATTTCCGTGCCCGCGAAGGAGGTTGGCACCAGAGCTGGAGGATGTAGGTCCCACAGCCTCGAGGTCCCAAATCCCCCATTCGCCATCTTCGAGCAAAGCTGCGACAGCACGGCCAGCGATGAGCCATCGTGCATCTAGGACTAGTTTTCGTCTCTGCTGGGCGACTTCCGTGATCTCCTGCCTGAAGGATGGGAGCAGCGTGATGAGGAACTTCCCGCGATCGCTGCCTGGCATTCTCGTCGAGCGCGTGCTGGAAACAGAATCAGCTGTTGCAGTAGATCCTCGACGCTCCCGAGTATGTGATGGGAAGACCTGGTAAACCTTGACAGTGGAATCTGCCGGGACCGTAATGAGCAAAGTTGAATGTCGTTCAGCAGGGTAAGGCGAAGTATTGAACGAAACCCTCGCGTTGATGCACGACGACCGAAGATACGTCCGTCTAATCGGGACAGGGTAATCAGCATTCGTCGCAAATTGATTCTTATGTAGCGGAATTTGATGGATCAGTAACAGTCCCGCACCAGTCGACGACACTGAAGCAACCAGAAGTGACCATCGTTCGGATTCGAACTCTGCACTCCCCGGCTTAGGCTGAGATTGTGAGCGAGTCTGAACCTTAGCCTGAGATTGTTCCTCGAGGTCCATTTGCTCCCGCGAAAGAACACCAGTGTGAGTGATTGCTATATCGGAGATGAACTGTTGATGAGAGTTTGGACCTTCTATTTTCAGTGTTCGTACACCCATCTTGGAAAGGTCGTGCACGCCTGGAGCAGGGGGATCAAGGGGAGCAGAGATGACTCGTATGCTGAGGTCTGCGCAAGCGACAGCAATAATGATGCGGTCGCTGTAGATAGCTGGCCATGACTCTGGAGGAGCCTGGGCGAGATCCTTCACAATATGTGGCACTGCAACCCTCGAGGCAGCTGTTCCCAAGGGTATGTCGATATACCGAAGTACATCCCGGTATGGTGCCGACGGGTCCACTTCCTCCTCATCTTCTTTGAACTCGGCAGGTCCTATGTTGGCTTCTGCTTTCCCTGCCGTGTCATCATCCTCGTCGTCGAGGTCGATGACCATAGCGTTGCTCTTCGCAGAACCATTTGTCTTTGGTGGCGGGAGTTCTTTCTTTGGTGGCTTGAAGCCCTTGCCAGCATACCATACAATGCGCAAGCCTTGTTCGTGCCCGTAGACTATGACGGTCGAGCCATTCGAGGACTGTCGGGGGTAGACATGCGATCTGAATGCTTCGTGTGGGAGTTCATAGCTAGATTGTAAGGTCAGACCAGGCCACCGCAATCGTGAAGGGTGAACTTACCTGAGCTGCCATCGCCCTTTTTGTCTCACAGCCGATCGATTCATTCTGCAAGATTGTGTCGTGACCTCAAAGCAGGAAAGAACGAACAATCCTTGGTTGTGTGAACTTGTGGTCAATGTGGATTCGGGTTGATGCTACAAGAGCCGCAAACTGCGCAACTTTTGAATTTCTCCAAATCGCGTCGGGAACGCGTTTTCACAGTCAAGACAGTCAAACAGTTAAACAATTAACATTATTTTCACTGCATCCAAATGTGCCCGAACCCCCAGGACCACTGAGAGTGCATTGCACTTCGGCAAATCGATATGCTTGCCTGCTCTAACTTAAGCCGCCTTGCCCTCATGTCTGTCGACTTGCCTTCGCCACTCCAGAGCCATGAGTTCAATCCAGTCGCTCGGCCTGCACGAACCGAGCGCTGTGCCCTATCTTGTTTCCGCTTCGATACTTCCTCCTGATCCATCGCCTTCACTGTACAAATGGACACTCTCGCGCGTATACGAGAAAAATGCCTCAAAATTGGTGGAAGAGGAGATTCTCATCACAGCACATTGCGTGGTGTGGTCCAGGAACGGTGCAATTGAAAGAGCGCTGAACCTCAGTGTTGAAGGGGAGACTATTCTCCATGCCTTTGTCACCCGCTTTGGTCAGCCTGGTACTGGCCAGAACAGTGGCCAACACCAGAATGAACGTGTGAAGCCTGGGGACCGTGGTCTAGTGGTGGTGTTCAAAACTCAGGTTCACATATTCCTTCTCTCAGGCGACAGCTATGTTTTCCCTCTGTCCTTCGAGGTTGAGTCTGCGTTTCCGTATCCATGCGGGTTCATACTACAGCGCAAACTAAGCGATAGGGAATCTGGTGGCTTCGTTGAACATGTCCACCATGACCTCAGCACCATCAATGAGACTCTGACGTCTATCGGAGACAACAGCTCTCGACCATCATTGATCTTGCCAGAGAAGCGGCCCTCGGATCCTCGACCACTATCTTCCAGCGCCAGTGGTATGCCTAGGACCTTTTCATTCACTGAAATCATGTCAGAACTCGGTCTCGTGGTGTGGAGCCCCAACCGGAAAGGCGAAGCCCTCGAGGAATGCAATGCTCTCCCTCGTTCAGAGAAGTTAATCTACATCACTGCTGGCGACGAAGTCGGCTCTGAAAAGGCAAGTGATCGACCGGTCTGCATGGCATTGACTTTCAACGAAAAAACTGCTACCTTCACTCTCTGGCATGTAAGCGGAGATGCCATGAGCGAGCAACAACAAGCACGAAGCAAGCAGGATGGTAACGCCAAATCTCGCGCATCTTTGAGGAAGAGTTCCAACATCTATGGCCGAGACCATGGCACCCTCAGGGAAAGCCTTTTAGGCTCACGGCCTCCACACCCAGACGGTGGGCCGTTCTCGTCTTTGGAGGAGCAAAAGTCCTTTCCAGTAAATGATCTGGCTTCTCAACTAGGGCCCGAATTTGGCGACGTCGGAGTGCAAACCCGATCAGCCCGCAGAGTCAGCTCAATGCTGGCACGCACGGATTTGGGTCCCGCAACCGATCGAAACACATTCAATGACCTTGCAATGGGCCATGCAGGCCGACAGAGTCTGAATCGGGCGGGCAGACGAGGCGAGTCAATCGGCAGCTTCAATGATCGGCAGAGCTTTGGTTTTCGACGGAGGAGCTCCTTCCCGACAAATGCATCGATCCTAAGTAATGGAACTTCATTCTTGGATATTTCGGCTCGGGCTCTGTTAGAGGAGTTTGACCCATTACGGCAATCCACGCGCCTCGAAGATGATACCTTTGACGGCCCAGAAACTAATTTACCTAAGAGCGTCGGTTTCTTCAAGGTCAAAAGCTTCCCCAGACGGCAGTCAGCTCCCGAGTCCAAATCAGCATTCGAAACAAAAGTTTTGCAGCTGAGCAGGGGCACCTCATTCGAGCAGGATGGTAAGCAGACAAGGGACGTCTACCTTTGCGTACTGGACAAGAGCACACAGGAAATGACCATCATCAGGGTTTTGGTCAAACGACATATCTACGGCGGTACAAGAAAATCGACCGTGTCCGAGCATTCTTTGGAGCTCAAAGCTGTTGAAGTCCGCAGCTTACCGGGCATAAAGGACGCCTGCACAGTCGTGGATAGATCTATTCAGCGATTAGTCGTCCTAACACAGTCCCGGTCACAGATGATTGGCTTGCAGCTCGAGTCGCCATGGTCTCCGTCTTTCCAAATCGGACTTCCTGTTCGATACGCAATCTACGACCCGCTTGTGAGCCCTCAGCCATATAGCCCTAGGAAAGACAAAGACACGGGAATCAGGAGGGCCATACCGGCGAAAGATGTACAAATTCAAGCCTTGTTTGACTCGGGCATTCAAGCACAGATCTACGTTGTTGATCAAGACAAGCGCCGACATGCGCTGGGAATCCAACTTGCTCCTCAAGATCCTCTCGTGCAAAAGGTTCTCAACATGTGCAACATGGTGCTAGGTCCAAACCAACAGGAAAGCCTTCTCGTTGCCTTTTGGGAGGTGGCGAGGTGGTTGAAAGGCAGGGAAACACCAGTGACCTCTGAATGGACTGCACTGCTGGTAGTGCTCTTCTCGCTTGGGGTGCCTTTCATCAGCAGTCAGCATTCGCAGTCCACACCAACGCGTCGTCGGACCAAAACTGCTTTTCTTCGGTCCAGTAGCGGAAGTGCCATCGACCTTACTAATTACAACCTCATGCATCATGCGGGGGACGAAATGCCCCAAGCATTAGGAATGCAAGCGCCTGCTTGGGAATGGATGTCTCAGAAACCCCTCGAAACAGCAACAGTCACTCCAAAATCAAAGCACTCAAGGGCGGCCAGTGCCACATCTTTTCAAGAACGTGCCCCGGAGAAGAAGAACGCGTTTCTGCTCACATGCATCGCACTGGCAAGAGAGTATACCCAGACTGCCATCGGGGAAAGCGCCCTTGGACCGGAGGGCTATTTGCCAACTTCGATCAACAGAGAGCGAGAACAGCGATGCAATGCCATACCCAGCATTTTGCTCGGACTTCATCTCCTTTACGAGGAAGACAAACTCAACACACTGGCAAATCCTGGCCGGAAGGATACAAGAACCCATTTATTGGTCGCTCTCGTACAGCTGGGTTTGTGGCTAGGATGGACAGACTGGACCGCTGGGAGCAACACTTACTACGGGCACGAATCAGCACAAGTCGCTGAATACGTGTTCGACAACTCTTTACTCGATGGTCTCCGAATTCCAGCCCAACCATTTCCACCGCCGTCGATCTACGAGCATTATGAAAAGTGGATCAAAGGAATTTCACCTGCTCCATTTTTGACCTTGACTCGTTTATCTGGTTTGCCGGAGCTGAGCAACCATGACCATCCATTGTGGTGGCAGGCAGCAAGTCTGACGCCCCGAACGTTAGAACTCCTGACCTTCATGGATCAAGCTAAGGACCAGCTCAGTCCCCACAAAGCAGTCGCAGCTTTGCTTCGGTCAGGCTTGAACGAGCGCATCTTGAGCACTCTTCCTGACGGAGTAGCTGCCGCATTCCATCAAACAATTGCATCATACCGGTATAGGGCGGACAAAATTGGAGACCAGGTGAATCAACTGATCCTGGGACGCGATGCTGCATCGCACCGAGGTTACGATCTATCTCACCATTCGTACAAGCCACACTTGGTGCTACCACCATCACACGAAGCTGTAAAGGACTATCACACCGTGTGCTCCTCTGCAACCGAGACGGAAACCCTTCAAAGATGGGACGCATCTTCTGAAGCCGACCGACATGCTATTAGCCGGTTGATATTTAACGAGGACCGTCGCTTCTCAGAAGCTTCTAAGCTTGTCAATCAGAGCCGACCTCCCGTCGTGGAGTGCACACCCGAGCCTGGCTGGAGTGATGTGGACATGTTAGAGGCGCAAAAGGAACTAGCACAGTATGTCACCCTCAGAACATTGTCTGTGGCTGCAGGGCGAGGTATGATGCATTTTAGTGGGCGCGTCCCCTTGCTCACAGAAAGGGTGCCCTCGCCCGCATTCAGTCTGCAATGTATCATGAAACCTCGTAACGCGAGTGAGGGGGCTCAAGCCATGACTTTCAGCGCCGACAAAGCCACCTATACAGAAGAGAAGGTGTGTTGGGCATTCTTCCACAACGGCGCTTCGACGGGCCTCATGATCTCGACCGATGCCAAAGGAATCAACACCTCGTGGATACAATTCAACAAGCCGCCTGACTTGACAAACCGTCATGCTGGATTCTTGCTTGCTCTTGGTCTCAACGGACATCTGCGAACACTAGCCAAATGGGTTGCATTCAAGTACCTCACCCCCAAGCACACGATGACATCCGTCGGACTCTTACTCGGACTATCAGCCTCTTTCCTAGGGACCATGGACACCTTGATCACACGGCTGCTCTCGGTCCACGTCACACGTCTACTGCCGCCTGGCGCAGCCGAACTCAATCTATCTCCGTTGACACAAACCACTGGAATTATGGGGATTGGGCTTTTGTATTGTAATTCTCAGCACCGTCGCATGTCTGAAGTCATGCTGTCAGAAATTGAGAACGATGATCCCGAGGAGGGTGTTGCATTGGACAACGTGCTTCGCGATGAGGGTTACCGCCTGGCCGCCGGATTTTCGTTAGGGCTCATCAATCTCGGGCAGGGCAAACGCCTTCATGGACTCCATGATATGGGTGTTGTTGAACGCCTTCTCACCATCGCCGTGGGCACGAAGAATGTGAATATGGTCCATGTCCTCGACCGTGCAACGGCAGGTGCTGTCATGGCCATCGCTTTCATTTTCATGAAAACCAACGATAGAGCAATCGCGCAGAAAGTCGATATTCCAGATACATTGCACCAGTTCGACTATGTGCGACCAGATATATTCCTTCTTCGGACTCTTGCGCGGCACCTGATCATGTGGGACTCGATTCAACCCACGGACGCTTTTATCGGTATGTCGCTTCCCGAGCCCTACAGGTCGAGAATCGATTTGAAGGCTACGAAGTTTCTCAGCACTGAAGACATGCCGTTCTTCAACATTATTGCCGGGGTCTGTTTTGCCATTGGACTGAGATTTGCGGGCTCTCAACGACAAGACGTTCGCGATCTTCTCGTCTCTTACTTGGACAATTTCATCCGCCTAAGCCGTCTGCCTGCGCATAACTACGATGCACAAATTACCCTCAACAGCGTACGCAACTGCCTCGACACCCTAGCCCTGGCTTCAGCCACCGTTATGGCTGGTTCAGGCGATTTAGTCGTTATGCGCCGTCTGCGTGCTCTTCATGGACGTACCGATAAAGATACGCCGTTCGGAAGCCATTTAGCGGCACATATGGCGCTTGGTGCATTGTTCCTAGCTGGCGGCACACGGACCTTTGGAACCTCAAATCTAGGAATTGCGAGCCTGTGTATCGCCTTCTATCCGATCTTTCCAAATGACGTCCTCGACAACCGCGGCCATCTTCAAGCTTTGCGGCATCTATGGGTGCTTGCTGCCGAGGGGCGCTGTCTCGTGGCAAGAGACGGTGATGCAGGCGGCTCTGTCTCGGGTGGCATAACCGGCCGCATCAACCTGAAAAATGGTGAGACGCAGACAATCCCCTTGCCAGGATTGATACCAGAATTCGACACCATTAAATCCATAGACATCAAGGGCGAGGGCTTCTGGGATGGTCACCTCGACTTTGAAGCTGGAGGTCAAGCGCTGCGAGAAAAGATCAAGAGCGAAAATGCCGTGAATGTGGTCCTTCGGCGCCGGACAGTCTACGACGAGCCCCCGAAGAATCTTTTCATGGCGGAATTGCAAGCAAAGGCTTTGGCAATGGGAATTCCAAGTATTGATCCCAATGCTTTTCCTTCCTATATTAGTACGTTCGCCTCCAGCTCTGTACCTGGAGCTGGCATTGCTGCGAGCGCCGCGAGGTCGACAACTCCGAACCCATTCGAGTGGATTTTCGAGATTGGGCCTCTCAGGGACTTTGACCATGCGGAACGAGCGCTGATTCTGGGTCCCACACCGATAGATGGGAAGGAAACGAGCAGAGCTACAGTTGTGGATTCCCGACTCGAGTTTGAACAAGGAGTTCTCCCTCGGAACGATCCTGTGAGCCAAAACGGTGGGACGGGCAATGGTCAGATTGATAAGGACAAACTGTGGCAGTTGAGGTTGTTGTTCGCCTGGTTGGATCGATGGGAAAGAGAGGATGAGGAGCATGATCGGAGAAAACAAATAACCGAGCGGGTTGAGGGAAGTCCTAGAGGGGGGGACCGTGGCAATGACAACGCGGACAAATGGTTCTCGGACAGGGGAGGGACCTGGCTGAGAAGAGAGGTGATCGAGAAGCTGAAGTGGAGGGTGTGGAATTTGACGACAGGGTCCAACGACGAGGATTATGGGGCGAGAGACTATGACGCCAACGAGATGTTGTGACGATAACGACCTCGGTATATCAATGATGTTGACGAAGGGATGAGGAACAAGCCCTTTTCCAGTTGAGCAAGGGTTCGATTATGGCGCATATCATTACGACGGGGTATCCATACACGTTCGAGTCGACTTTTGTCTGGGATTCACACTACAAAAAGCCCTAAAAGGATGGGATAGAGTTCAGGGACGCAGTGGCGGTGGAAATGGGAGTGGCATATGGATATCAGATATCAGATATTATTATCATTACTATTGGTATTCATTATTCCGTGGTCACTCATGCCTACCTATAGTGCCCGATCACCAAGGAGTTTCTCTAATAGTTTGATCCATTGTTATGAGAAACAAACATCAAGTAAGAGAATGTGGATAGTATGTCGCCTGCAGTGGTGATGAGTGATGCGATGATCGGGGGCTGTTTGAGTCCACGACACGGCACGACGTGACTCGAACAGACGGCCTGCGCGGCCTTCAGAGGGCAAAAAGGGGGGGGTGGAAGAGAAGGAGTTAGAATGAGACTTAGAACAGCAGGGTCGGTATCTTGCCTCGACCGGGACCACGACCAGGAGCAAAGTACTGGAGGAGTAATTACTTGAAAAATAGGATAGATGACGAACGCCCCCGAAACCCTTCCGTCACGCCGTCCGTTGCGTTCGTACGTACGTACGTAGCACACCAGCCCGGAAAAAAAAAAAACAACCCAGCTAACACAAACCAACTCGGCTCGACCGACATCCCTCCAATGACCTTCCATGCATCCAACCATATTGCTCCTTCATGCATGCATGCTGTTAGGACAGTGTATTCAATTCAATTCACGATTGTCGACCCTCTTTTGATTTTCGTCGCAAGAGCCAGCCAGTTTCGGCAAAAACAATTGATAAAACCGCCAGGCCAACATCAGCAGTTTGTTGTGTCCCACCGCGTGAGCTCGCAGGCCCCGAAGCTCAGGGAGGACGACTCGTGAAATGTACTCGTCGACCACCCTCGTGGCCTGACCTTTGTTGTTTCTGACAGAAGAAAGACATGTCCCGTGTACACGCTCCATTTTCAGTTCGTAAATCCTTTCTCCGAGACAGGCAAAGTCGAGAACTTTGGGGACGGGGATCGTCGTGTTCTCGCGAATAAATACCAGTGCCGCATGGTCGAAGAAGAGCTGAGAGTAGTAAAGAGGCCATGTATATCATTGGGAACTAGTGAAGTATTCAATTCACAGTCCCTTCTCGACGTCAAATGCTTCGAGTCGGTGGATCGAAAAGAGAGTCTGGTAGCTCGAGTTTAGCCTAGGGGATGTTGTGCTTGTCTGCCAAAGGAAAGGCGTCATGTGAATTGCACGTGTCGCGCTCAGGGGACTTACTTGTTCGGGCTAGACGACTAGGAATCACTGATGCACACTGTCCTGTTCTCTCTGCTTCAATTCAGCTGTCATCCAGCGTGGTAGAGCAAGTTGTTGCCTACAGCCTACAGCCGTCTGTTGCACCTCGTATTGGAGATTGGAGATTCTCACCTCGACAAAGAAATGTGTTAAGTGTAGGTTTTAAACCAGGACTCACCTCATTGCAATCATCCAGTCCTCATCAAAAGCTGTTTGATGGCATTACTTTCCTGGCTGGATGGCTGGATGGCTGGCTAGCTAGCTAGTTAGTTGGACAGCTGGATCTCTTGCGTAGGAAGATCTTTTCTTCAACACGTCGGCATTTCCAGACGCACTCAAATCATGTCCTCTCAAGACGTCAAGGGTCGGCCAAACGGCCTAACAAAATCCTGCGCCTTTCTGCCAGCAAGAGTGATTCGATAAGTCCGAACCAGCGCCGGGAACTGCTGCTGCTGCTCACTTGGCTGGGAAATACGCAGGTAGAGAAAGATCTCGATAGTAGGATCCCTGGCCAATATATTGCCCTTTTAGAGGAGACTGATGGCTGTGTACATCATAGTCCCAAATAAAATTTATCCTTGACGGACAAGCAAATTAGGGAGCAAGAGCCGACGACGTCGACTTTGATGGAGGCCCAACAACAAGGAGGACTCTTTGGGTGTGGCTCGTAGTGCATCCGCGTTGTCGACATCGACAATAGGGCTGAGCTACTCTCAGTCACGATCAAATGCAAAGATTCCAGTCCTCGTAAGAACGTTGCTCAGTGGTGAGGAAACCCGTCTCGATACTCGTACGAGTTGGCATGGCCCCTTCCGCTACGGTAGATCCAGCAGACCAGCACCGAGACCATGTAACAACGGTGACGTCGACCAAATCCTTCCAGCCCCATCTTCCTCCCCTTTCAACCAAAAAGGGGGGTGGGAACGCGAAGCCCCACGCCGCGGCTGACTGGGATCAGGAGGCTGACTGGTCTGGCAGAATTGGTGACCCGCCAATAGAACCAAAAGAAACTTCAGGCAGAATGGATTCTCGAAGGATGCTAGAATTATTGAAAGTCGTTCTACCTGCATCTGGAGTTTGGACTTGCGACCTCGATCCTCAGGATTGACACTACCCAGAGGGAGGGCGAGCAAGCTCAACATGGCTCTTGTTGAATCCAACTGGCTGGGAGATCTAAACGCCGATCCAGCAACATGCAGAGGCGTACTCGTAATCAAGAACGAACCTTCTGATGGGTGTCTGATGCTTCGATATTCGGTGCCGAGTGACACCAGACTGTAGATAGATGCATCGGTCAAGCTTCGGACGGCTGTAACCGCACAGGGTCCGGCTTGCCGAACTCCAGAAGAATGAAGATCGGCGATCCGGTCAATATAATTAGGCTGGGATCCACGAGCTTAATCCCGTACTTGTCTCTTCGTATAATCGTATCGTGAGCACGTGCCGAGGTACCTCAAAATTGTACTTCTACCTGGACACACCAACCTCCTGACGTGCTGATGTAATATAATCCAGCTGAGCTTCCAAAAAGCTCGTTTCTTTTCGAGCAGAGTAGCGTGTGACTTCCCGAATAAGGTAGGGTCACCTTGGTGAAGAAGCCCAGGCGCTTGTTCGTCAATCACCCCTATCGGGTCCAGACCTGGAGCTGTGATTGATCGCTCGAGGCAGGGACAGCAACAAGATCAGGTCCCAGATTGAGTTTGCGAACAAGGATGAGTAAGTAGGTTGATTATTAGTCGTCAGGGTTGCGTCCAGGAATTACGACTGAGGGGCTGGTGCCCTTGGCCATCGAGTCGTCGACACTGGCTGCCATCATGAGGGACGGGCAGGACGGGGCAGAGATGAAACACGATCTGTCTTGGTGCTCGATCAGCGAGAAGCAGGGACGGATTCGCCTACTTCCTGTTGTGGAAGCACTTGTTCTGATATCGGATATACCCCGTGGCCCTCAAATTTCCTCCATCTGCTCGTCACAACCTGGCGTCGCTGAATCACCACTGGTAAACGATTATTGAGCAGCAAAAAGGATAAAACAAAAAAGACCCGCCATCGATCCCCTTGGCACTTCCTTTGTGCGCATGGGGTGCTTGGTTGGAAAAGATTGGATTCCAAATCAGGCGTCCGATGGCGGACATAACCTCGGGCGAAGTCCGATTTAGTCAGGAATGTTGAGGAAACATCGCTTGTCATTTGTCAGATGGTTGGATTCACTCAGGAATGGAAACAGTCGAGACGAATTGCAGGCTTTGGTGATGAGGTCGCCTATCGCTATCGTCACAAGCGGCCGCATGAGGGCAGCTTCAAGGTTCTGCTCCTGGAAAAACCTCCAAGATATGGGGAACTTTGACTCCCAATCAGGTATCAAAGAATCCACTACCCGAAGTGGCCTTGGATGCCAAAAGAAGAATGCCCATCGTCCACATTACCGAGCAGCAATTGATTATGCCGTCTGTAGCCAGCAGAAGCATTCAGTAGCGAGCAGTGATGATCCCGTGATCTTGTAACTGACCGTGCCTGAGAGGGGACCGTGCGAAGATCGATTCCTGATACGGCAAAAGGCCCTGACATTGGTTGCATGTGCGGAGAGGGAAGAAGGGGCCCAACAAGGGGCGTATATTTTGGCTATGCGCCCTGATGACTCACAAGATGGCATGCAGATCGCAGATCCAGGTGTCTCCTGGTTGGCGCTCGTCAAGAGAAGCGGGGAAAGAGACATCTACATGCAAGTCTCGAACGTTACTCGGCCTGAAACCATTCCTCGAACAGGAAGTCTACCTTGCTTGAGCGAGAATCCTCCCAGTGGAAGCTTGGATTGACGAGTGCCTTGTCAAAGTCCTTGGCCTGGAGAGTCCAGATCCAATAGGTGACACGAGCGAGACGCACAAAGCTTCAAGAGTGGAGAGAGCACAGGGTTGAGCTGGATGGTTGGTGGAGGGGAGGGGGATGTGGTGGTCAGGATCAAGCGCACATGCGCGCCCGAGGGGACATTGCGAGCCGCTGCTCAGTGCTCACAGAATACAATACGAGACTTTGTTTGACCAAGCAGCAAGCTGGCTGGCGACCTGAAAAGGGCCTAGATTGCCAGCCCAAACCATGACAGAGATTTGGTGAGCATTCTGAGTCAGCGGCAGACTGCTCCATCGACAAGCCAATCACATGGCGCACAGAGAAACTAGAAAAGGCCAAAGCGCTCTCGGTTGGAATGTGTTATATCCGGTCTAGGAACTTTGTTTTGGTTGTTGGAGGTGCCAAGCGAGAGACTCGTTCATTCTTTGTCTTGTGAACAAGGAATCGAGACGGAGTGAGCAAGTGAGTAAGTGAGTGGGCCCAGGGTGAGTGATGGGCAGGATCGTGTTTCGACGCTAGGATAAAATAATGAAACCTCGTGTCGAACGAAGGCTTTGTCGTCGAGGAAGGGTGTTCGCAAGTCCGTGTCCGTAGAGGATACGGATCGATAATATCTCCAAAGCCGAGTTGAGTAGTCTGATTACTTTCTGGCGCTGTGGTTTCGGCGATCAACAGCGACCGAATGAGCGGCGCGGGGCGAGAAGGCAAGAGGTAGTCGAGTAGATCAAGATCAAAACTGCGCAGTGCAGCGCAGTTTGGCCATCATGCGATTGTCTTGTCA